CTCATACTTTCTTTTTATCCAAGATTTCTGTGTGGGAGCACATCAATGATAGTTTGTATTTCAAGTGTGCAACAATCAAGCAAACCCCAAACAGCAGTTATCAAGGTTGCCATTCCAACATCACCCACTTTAACTGAAACCTTCATTCATCAACCCACAGAAGGCATCCTAAATTCAAGATTGCAGGGCATCAGAATTCTATCATGGAGTCCAGAGATAGTGACTACTTGCAAAAGAAAACAGTTCTTCACAGAACCTTTAGGCAGCTATGCTAATGAATGCATTTGGATTAAGGATCAGTCTGCTGGACCAGCGGCCCAAAGTGAAGGTAATGCATGGTTTATGTGATCTTTGGTTATTTATGTAATGGATTTTAAGTAAATAGGCAATGCCTTTGAAAAAAAAGAGTAAGCACTTTAATATTTGTATCTAGTTTTTTCAACGTTGACTTATGGGACTAATTAAAGCTTGAACTCTCCTAAAAGGAGTGAAAACAAAAGGTTAGCTATGTATTATTTTTACATAGCAAACTATATACCTAGGGGCTCTGATGATTTCTGTGATGTGGAATACAGTAATAAAAAATAGAATAGCATGGAATGTCACGGAATTTGGCCAAGTTTTAATGAGCAAATCAAAAGTAGGGCTGTACACTTATCGAAGTCATATTAAGAAGATATGGGCTAGTGTCTGTGAATATTAAACCACTAAAAGACTGCTATTGAAACATCAAGTCTGCATGTTCTTTCATCTACTACACATACTCATGCACATGTGATGCCCCTGGTGTTTTCAGCATCTGCCGTCTCACTACATGAGGACATGAACACATGAACTTTTTTCACCAGAGTTTCACTCTGAGAGTTTACTTTTTGAGTATTTCAGCATTTCATTTAATAGTAAACGCTTCATTATCATGATGTATAAAGCACAGCTCACACAAACTCCTTTTCAGACCAAGCAGCTTTCTGTTGGTCAATGTGCCGAATCCGCTTGACCAGATTGAACATGTTGCGAAATCTTCATTGGGAAGTCTTTCACCCTCATACTAAATTCTCAGGAACGTGGATTGCCATTGAAATGACCATTTCACCTGCGAAAATCTGCAGAACAATGTTAAATGTGAACACACCTTGAGTCAGAGTACACTAAATACACTCGCAAAAAAAAGTTGTGTTCGGTAGCAACAGTGCACTTCCCACAAGCACTTTCTGTTAAGATCAAATTGAACAGTATTACAAAACACAAGTACACTCTTAAAAATAAAGGTGCTTCAAAAGGTTCTTCAAGCGATGCCATAGAAGAACCATTTTTGGTTCCACAAAGAACCATTCAGTCAAAGGTTCTTTAATGAACCATCTCTTTCTTACCTTTTTATAATCTCAAGAACCTTCTTTCGCCACAAAGAACCTTTTGTGAAACAGAAAGGTTCTTCGGATGTTCAAGGTTCTTTATGAAACCATTTAGACAAAAAGGTTCTTCTATGGCATCGTGAAGCACCTTTATTTTTAAGAGTGTACTGTACTGCCTTTATTTGTCACTTTTTAACACATATCAAAAGTTTCACACAAAAAGTGCTTTATTTTTTAAGATGACATTTGGGTAAGTGTGCTATAGATGCTAAAGATAAAGTTGCATAACACAAACAAAGCATGAAATCCTGAAAATTACAGAGAGGGAATGGGTTCTGACCAATTAAAAAAATTAGTACGCTTCTGAAAGTTTTTTTTTTTTTTTTTCCAAGATTGGCAAGCTAGTTTTCATTCTGCCATTATGAGAACATGAAAGACTGTCTATTTTGGACTACCACTGTATCAAATCATTTTGGTGAGATTATTAGACAGCTAATTGCATATAAACAACAGCTATTGTAAACAACATTTCATTATCATAGGTTTACATTTGGGTACCATAGAATTATTATGCACAGTCTTCAGTTTCTGAGATATCAAGCTGAAAGTGAATGAGCTACACTTTTATCAACTTGGCTGGAGGAATTAAAAATATTATATGTGAAACAGTTTCTTTCCTTATTCCTCCTATTGCAATTTTTGATTCATTCTTTCATGTAAATCTTTAATTTCATTTAAGTCCCTCATCCTCATTGTGCTTCCACGCCAGTTTTCATGACATGTCCAATTTCTCATACCAATCCTAAACAAAAAGAGATTGTTTAGATGACAAAATATGCTTTTGTCCTTGCAGTGCCTGTAGTGCAGTGGAAACTTGGAGATGTCAGGTTGAATGAACTTAGTGTCTGGCTTGGTGCTCAAACTCCTGTGTCACCCAGAGAGATTGTAACCATGTTGAAGCAAGGTTTGTTCCTTAACAATCATAATACAACATAACATAGCACTTGGTCTAGTGCTTTTGAGTTTCTTGGTTGTATGTGATCAGGATGGCAGTGGTATTACAGGAATGGCTTTGCTAATCAAGTCCAATCAGTATAATCACACACAGCTGGACTCAAATGAAGGTGTGGAACCATCTCAAGGATGATCAGAAGAAATGGACAGCACCTGAGTTAAATATATGAGTGTCACAGCAAAGGGTCTGAATACTTAGGACCATGTGATATTTCAGTTTTTCTTTTTTAATAAATCTGCAAAAATGTCAACAATTCTGTGTTTTTCTGTCAATATGGGGTGCTATGTGTACATTAATGAGGAAAAAAATTAACTGAAATGATTTTAGCAAATGGCTGCAATATAGCAAAGAGTGAAAAATTTAAGGGGGTCTGAATACTTTCCGTACCCACTGTATATTGATGTTCGTAGAGGAGGAATCGGTGGGATATCCATACTGTTGACTGTGTCCTGTGTTACATATGGAACTACCCATATCTCAGTGAGTCTGAATTAATGTCATCCTCCCATAATCATTGACACGCATAAATAAAATGTCTTGTTTTATGCTGTTTTATAGAGAAAGAACGCTGGAGAAAGTACCATTAAGGACGTTTGATGGTCTTCATAATTGTAGCACACTTTGGAGAAGCAGCAGCTTTGTGTTCAGGGCCATGAGGGCACAATAAGATTAATAATTAATAGGACAATATTATAACACCAGCAACTAGTAGTTCACTGCAATATGAGGTTTGCTATATTTTTGTTAGAATGTGTTAGTATTTTCTGGAAGCATGGATAATGGAGTTATCTTATTACATTTTTAAATATTCATTTATTCACAAAGAAAGAGAATGTTAAGCTAAACTTATATTTATATAATTTGAAAAATTGTTCTAACAAGTGTGCAGTTTTTGTGTAACCGAGTAGTGGACTAAGATCTAATAAATTACACAATATTGTTCAACACTGTTGGGTTTTCTTTGTAAGACTTGTCATATATTTCATTTATTTGTTTACATGACCATCCTTTAATTTGCTCATTTATATGAAAAATATATAAATATCCATAATTCATCAAAAATGAAGACATTACAAAATATTAGCTGTATTCAAAATGAATTTAATATTTATCTTTGCTGTTGTAATGAACACTCACAAAAACAACAAATCATGACCTGACCACATACAGTATGACTGAACACATACCTAACATAATAAAAATAACTTTTTGTTTTACATTCTTTTTCTTTACAAAAAGTATAAATATTTTGTGTTTCATGTTTTTCTTTTTTGTAATACAAACATTACAAATCAAGTTTTGGGTGATGCAGAAAATAAAACGGGGTATTACGATAACTGAAGGCCACACTCGCACAACAAAAAGCAGTAAAAACAAATGATAGACTATTTAAACTTGTTTTCACTCGCTCTCTCCTAAGGCAACGAAGCCCTTCGAAGTGAAGGTCTTTCAGAATGCTCTCTAATACCGACCCCTAGAGCTCAGATCAGAGAGAAGAATATTTCACTTTTTTTCTGTTTGTCTGTTTGTCATTTTTGGTTGAACTGCTGGGAAAGACAGTGGAGTTTAGTGTTAATGATCCAAAAACAATGGGATGACATGTATAGATGGAAATAAAGCATCCTTCTCTTCAGCTCTGGAATGGATGCTGATGGAAATGCAGACTTGTGAAAATGTCCACACACTACGGTTTCTCTGCTCTGGTCAGTTTTTTGACATTGTCTTGGTCGTATTCCCATCATTGAATCTCACAAGCCTTGTAATGGCACAGTTAATATATGTTCTATCCTACAAAATACAACTGAATGCTAACAGTCTCCTCTTCAGAAATGATTTCTTAAAACTGGTTGTTGAAATGTGGGCCTGTCCTCCTTCAACCAAACTACATTATCTCAGTTAACAGCCATCTCCTAATGCAACTCATTAGGGTAAGAAAACCTGATATGCTGTGACGGCACTACTGCTGCTTTCACCACTTTATAACTCATATGAGAAGTGATCTGCAAAGGGGCTGTAAGAGCTGTGAGCATGGCTAGCTGTCAAGAACAAGGTCATGTCCACATGTGCAAATAGGAGCTGCCACCAGAGGCAGAAACTGCAAACCGACCGCCAAGACCACAGCCTGACCAGCAGGGGACTCAACGCACGAGGGAAAATGAAAAGTTTCAAACAACATCAATGTGGGTGAATCTCACAGAAATCTCAAATCAAAGGAAAGAAATATGTTTAATAATGATATTTGATTTTTGTTGTATTATGACATTATTGCATGACTATAAACACATTTAAAACCAATTTTCATTAATGCAACAAAACGTATTTTCATTATAATTAAAGTAGCAATATATGATAATGTGAGAAAAAAACGAAGATACATTTCAATTATAATGTACTTATACATAACGGTATTGTTGCACTGTCTTTAATTCACGCTTATTAAAATATATACCATACTTTATAAAAAAAGAAAAAGATTTTTATTATTTTTTTCAAAATATGTAATATGAATTTGATGACAATAATACAAATTCAAATGTAAATACAACAATAAAAATTTAAGGTAAAATTTGCTTGATTATCATGAAAAAATTGCAATCACAATGCAAAAAACAAACATATTGCTGATCCTAAAAATGGTTTTCATTTATTTTTGCTAAATATTACTTATTTTTATTTCCTTTCATTTTGGGTCGAAATGTGGTACGTTTTTATGAGATTCACCCATGCAAGTTCTTTGAGACACTAACTTTAGATACAAAACAGCACATACTTTCTCCAGGCAGGGAGCAGCACAGATTTTACAAAAAAAAAAAAAATTGTATTATGCATCATTTAAAAAAAAAAAATTAATTAAACAAATATAGATAAACATAATGTAACATTGTACCCTCAATCTGAGGACTTAACTTTCCCCTGCACAAAACCACACAAGTGAGTTTTGTCACTGTGGAGAGGTCACATACCTGTAAGGTACAACAAAAAAGTAAACCAAAAATAAAGAGCACAGCCAATGCTCAAAAACAATTCAACGCGCAGGTGTGTTCGTGTGCATCACTTGGTCAAAGTCTACTGCAATGATACAACATAAGTGTTGAGACAACCATACAACCTTAAGTGCAGACAGACTATTAGACTAAGTGTCTGATATTGACCGATAAACTACAAATATCAATGTCTACTCATGACATTTCAAACATGACACTTACTACTTGATTGTGTGTGTATGTGTGCATGTATTTATGTGTGTGTGTGGTTACAAATGTATCCTGTGAAGCATGTCAAAAAGGCTTACTTATGTAAACTTCTCTAGGACAACAGGCACAGTATTAGAGTATCACCATCACCAGATTCACCTTCCTGTTCCTCGACATCATCAGAGCCGTTGTGTGCACACCCAATAATGCCAATGTACATCTGCTCACACGTGCCGTGGAGTTCAGCTTGCACACACATGGCATGAAATGAAATGAGATTAACATGGAACAACTAACAAACATAAATATGGCACTGTCTAACATTCTAAGATGCTATTCACGGCAGCCTCAAGCACAGAGTCAGTGTCAGCCAATGGGGCGTGACTATGATCTGAGAGATGTTGCTGTTCATGACCCTGCACCAGGTTCGAAGGGTAGCCTTGGGCGGAGCTATGCTGTGATTGGCTGGGAGATGTAGGGTAGTGTGCATGTTGACTGTTGCTGCTGATTAGGTTGATGGATTTCTTTTTTTTTAGATCCAGGATGCACTTGATGGGAGTTCTTCTGTGTTCCTCCATTCCTTGTTGTTGAGGTTCTGTCCTATAAGCAGGTTCTCTGTGGCTGTTCATACCCTGCCCATCTCTTCCGGTGTGACTTATGGAATGCCTTGGGGATGTCTCCATTACACTGGGATTGCCCTCATGGGAGGCTGGGGTTAAAACTTCTGCACTTTGGATCTTCAGTTTAGTGCCACAGCAGAAGTCTTCCAGAAAGCCATCTGAGAGAGCGATGTAACGAAACATTACAAACATACAGCCAATCAAGCACAAAACATTTGTACAATTTTGGTTGAATTTATTAATAGATGCTCTCTAGGGCTTTGGCAATTGTATATAATTATACATGTTACTTTGCATAACAAAGCTGATGTGCACATATTAATAAAACATGTAAAAGTTGATCACAAAAAAAGTATGAGTGAGCACCAAACTCCAAAAATACATTTTATTTCCAAATGCTACTCAACTTTATTTAACCAAAATAAAACTAATAGGAAACATTGTGAATTTACTTAACGTCAACATGGTTTTAAACACAATATCTGAGAAATGTTTCAACTTAGGTTAAAATGTTTCAACTTAGCAATGACAGACAGTGAAAATGGCTAAATATAACCAGGCTTCCATCTCTTACCTGGATCCACTAATATCATTCGTTTGTCTTGGGTCAAGTTGCCCCGTTCCTCTTGATTAAAAGTCCTGTCAATCATCACCATTTCTGATGAAGGGCTGGACCTCTGAAAGAGCAGTAAGTTTTGCATTAATGGGAATAATATTAGAGTAATTACCTACAAATAATTCTAAGAGGTCTTTTGTACATCTTGATTAAAAGTCCTGTCAATCATCACCATTTCTGATGAAGGGCTGGACCTCTGAAAGAGCAGTAAGCAGTGATCAGTTTTGCATTAATGGGAATAATATTAGAGTAATTACCTACAAATAATTCTAAGAGGTCTTTTGTACATAATTTAAAGTGCTGTGTTCTACACCCACCTCTGACTCCACCATGAGTAAGCGCCTGTATTTGTTCACCATGGCCTGCGTTCTGCTTAACACTTGTACAGCAACTGCCTCAAACTCCTCATCAACTGTAAAGTTAAAAATGGCCATCAGAAACTAGGTCATATTCAGTCAATACTTATCTGTGGTTAAATATTAAATATGTTGAGGAAATGTTGAAAATGCACCTTCAGTGAAACCTTCATCTCGTGGTGGTGAGCCTTGGAAAACATGATAGGGCAGTAATCTGTCAATGACATCATTAAATGAAGTGAAGCGCGTCCGCTCTGAAGACATGACTCCACTGTGATCTCGTCTTAACTGCTGGAGAACCCTGTAAAATAAGACCCAGTGTTAAAAATCATTATTTTTACTATTTGTTGACACCAACTGTAACAGGTGCAGAGTACAATTTGGGCACTCACATTTCTCCTCGAGTAAGTTGTTGAGTTGCAGGTCGCTTCGGTGTGAGAGGCCATTCCTGACCGACAGGAGTGAGTGTTTTCACAGCTAAGATTTAATCAAATAAAGAAAAAAAAAATTAACTGATGCAAGAGAGGAAATTTTTTTCCACAAAAACATTAAGCAGTACAATTGTTTTAACAATGATAATAATAAGAAATGATTCCTGAGCATCAAATCAGCTTATTAGAATGATTTCTGAGGGATCATGTGACAGTAAACGCTGGAGTAATGGCTGCTGAAAATTCAGCTTTGCCATCACAGGAATAAATTACATTTAAAAATGTATTAAAATAGAAAACAATTATTAGTAGTTTTTACTGTACTATTCTATTTGTAATCAAATGAATGCAGCCTTGGTGAGAATAAAAGATTTATGCTTCAAAAACATTACAAAATTTTACTGACCCCACGCTCTTGTATGATAGTGTATATATGTATGTAGGAATGAATAAATGAATGCATAAATAAATACATAAAAAGTTTTCATTAAAACTGTTCACTGACAGAAACACCAAAATATTTCAAAGGAGTCTTACTTTTGGTACCAAGGAGATTAACTAATTGTGTTTGCCCTCTTTGTGTTGCTGTTGTGGTGTCCTATGAAATTGAAGAAACATTCAAATGTGATGAAACAATCACATTAAAAACAAAGGCAAGCAAAGTCGCAATAAAAAAAGTATAGGTAGATCAGTTGATTCAAATATGTTTCACCTGGTTTAAAGAGACTTGAAACTCCTGAACACCAGAAGTAGCTGGAATGTTCTGGGCCATGGGCATTAGGAGGTGCTGTCCTGGGGTCACAGATAACTGTTGACAAACCTGTGGGCCTTGGATGCCAGAACTGACCATGGTGAGGTGGCCTGAAGCCTGTGATGTCTGTACAGGTGTTGGGTTAGGCGAAGAGCTGGCAGTCCAAACTTTGGCCGTGGCACCAGGCCTTTGAGACATCTGCACAACAGGTGTCGGTGAACCTTGATTGACTATCAGCTGGCCTCCAGTTGAAAAGTTCTGCCCAGCGATAAGCTGTACTGTTGTGTTCTGATTGGTGAGGATGGAGTAGGTGGTAGTGCTCAATGACGACTGGTCGCCCACTTGAGTGTTTGTTTGTAACACCTGCCCATTCACAGCCTGGAAGCCGTGAACAGTCGTACCAGGGGTGAGGGAAATAGAAGTGGGTAGCAAAAACTGCCCTTGAGACAGATTGGATTGGGACTGTGGTTGAGCTTGTTGCCCCAGAGGTGAATGCATTACAATGCTGCTGGCTGGATTGACCACTTTCACCTGTTGAGCAGACTGAGGAGAGCCGCTGGCTGTGTAGGGGCTACTGACTAAATTCGCAGTAGTGGTGGTGCTGGGTTGAAGCCCAATGTTGCTGATATTGTATAGAGTTTGTCCCCCTGTCTGTAAGGGTTTAGGCTGAATGGGTCTAATCAATGTCTGTTGCATAGGGCCTCTCTGGATGATAAAATTCTGAAGAGGTATCGTCCCTTTATTGAAGGACATTGACACCTGACCAGCTGCCGAAGGGGCGAACATGGTACCTTGCCCGCTGTTGTTTGTCACTACATTTCCGCTCGGCCTCAACAAGATCTGAGACTGTTCCAAACTGTTGATAGTCATCATGGAGGAGGCACTGCCATTGAAGGACCCCACTACCTGGATGTGTCCAGCGGGGCCATTTGGTATGGGTAGTTGGGGAACCTGCTGTATAAAAGCCTGAGGTTGTGCCAATGGTGCCACCACACCAGGACCCGCGACACCTCCAAACCCTCCAGAGACCAGCTGCTGAGGGAAGGCGGTAGCTGTGGGAATGAGAGATGGCTGGGAGTCCAAAAGGGCTTCTTGAGCCAATGTCTGCTCTGTAATATCTGCTTCCAGCAATGACTTCTGAAGGATGTCAAAGGGTTGGTCCTCGCCCCCAAGATCGACTCCATCTGGTGAGGTTCCACTGTCGAGGTCATCCTCGATGAAAGGAAGACTGCTTCCATCAGCCTCCCCAAACTCTCCCAAATGATTGTGGTCATCTTTGAGTTCTTCGTTGGAGCCACCCTGAGTAGAAAACCAGTTGTTGTTTAGATGCTCTTTCTAAATCCCTTTCTTGAGCATAAGAAACAACATCTATGGGGCAATTCATATCATATTTTCGTTTATCATTTAATATATGTTATTTTAATGTGAGTTTGAAAAGAAGTTCCCACTCAAGTAGATAGTAACTGGTCTTTATGCCCAAAATAGTTGCCCAGAGTCACTTCAAATATGGCCACCATGTGAGCTAACATTCCTTGATAAGGACTTTGATTATACTCACTGCGTCACTGGTGAAGAATGAACTGGCCGACCCAAACGCTGCATTAGTCACATCATCTTCTCCAATCTGTTTGAATGTCACATTTGAAAGTTGTCAATAACCTTTCAATATAAAACACAAATGTCATATATTCTAAGCATACTTACAGATTTACTATTTGAACCATGAAGATACTCATTCAATGCTTGCACATCTCTGTTGAAATAAAACAGTTAATGAAATAAAACGGTTTGTGTCGGTAGCTCTTTAAACTATAATCATCAAATTATCTAAAGCTGCTTACCCTATAAAATCCAGAAGACGGCGGTCGTCTTCATCATCCATTACACCTGTAACACAGTAATTACAGATTTATAGATTTTTCAATGAACTCAACAAAGTACAGTTTCCTTACATTTTAACTCGGCCCTGACTTTGACTATGCTGAAATATAATTTGTATGAACTTGCTCCTGAAAACACCTGAAGGATCCAATAAATGTATAATGTGTATTAAATGTGTATAATGTTCTAAAACAAAATCAAATCCCTGTAATCTGTCAGGGACCCCAGTTTGTCAATGAACATTCTCAGGTATAGTTTGTAATTTAAAGCATAGCCCTGTTGAAAAAACCAGCACATGCTGGTTAGGTATGTTTTGACGCTGGGATGCTGGTTTAAGCTGGTCCTTTGCTGGTTTAAGATGGTCCTTTGCTGGTTTATGCTGGTCTTTTTGCTGGTTTATGCTGGTCATGTGCTGGGAAAGGACCAGCATAAACCAGCAAAAGGACCAGCATAAACCAGCAAAGGACCAGCTTAAACCAGCAAAGGACCAGCTTAAACCAGCAAAGGGCCATCTTAAACCAGTAAAGGACCAGCATCCCAGCGTCAAAACATAACTAACCAGCATATGCTGTTTTTTTCAACAGGGAGGTTAAGCCTAAATATATCATATTAAATTCAGGTACAATAATAAATTAGATATATTAACAGGCCAAACTATGGGCAACGGCTGTTGAAATAACATGTTAGCAATGTAAATACACAAATGTGGGACAAACTCAAATTAATTAATAACTAAAAATGTCAAACTAGTGTTTATGAAGTGGCATTCTCTGACATCATTCTATTTTCAGAGAAAAATATATATAAAACAAAAAATAACACATTATATAGGTGTGTACTAAACAGTAATAAACTGTTTGACATTGCACCAAACACATGAAACAGTAATGTTTGAACAGTAAAACTGTGTAATATACATTGCAGTTTTATTTAAACACGAATATGATGTCTATGTTTAAAAATACACAAGTCGACTGTGTGACAGAAAGAATGGCTGCACTTTGCTGCAGCTACACACTTTAAAATGGCGGCTGGAGATTGAAACTGCGCCACTGCTCGCCACAACCGACAGACAAAAGACATTATGACGCAGAGTACTTGTGCAGTGGTAAAATGCTCCTCGACTGTAGTTTCAGATCATATTTTTGTAAAGTAGCCATAGGAAAGTGAACAGCTTGAAAATGCAGGTGTGGAAATGTGACAAAGGAAGCGACGTGGGGGATGGGTGAAACATGTTTGGCCAGTTTGATTGTTCACTCACACTTAACAAGCTTCTGTTAATGTTTTATAACACATTTTATGGTCAAGGCTAGTGAGGGAATGAAATTCGTTGTGTGTGTGTGTTTCCCCCCCAATATTGATTACACGTATGAACAGCATTCGATTGACACATTTTTGCGCTTTTGTTTCAAAACAAACAACGACGCGCTGTTAAAAACAGCTTAATGAACTTGCAGAAGTCCACCACTGCGAATCTAACCCTTTATTTAATCATTAAACAGCATACACACAAGAACAGAAAACGAAACTCGAGGATCGGACAGTCTGAAGGTTATAAATGGATACGATTAATAACGTCTCAATATTAATATTTTATATATGCTATTCACATTCAAAAGTTGTAACATTTTCTAACTAGCAAGACTAAGCTTGCATTATCCGTGTAGTGCGATCTGGAAGAAGAAGAAGAAAGTATGACAGATTAATCCGGCCCTTTCACATGTCCTGGATAAACAACTTCAAAATGTTTTTTTTTTTAATTCGTGCATATGCATGCAATTAAGGTTTTTATAAACTAAACGACGTACTGAATATGAGAGGTATATTAGTATTCGTTAAGGCTGAAGTCAACTTAGCAAGCCAAATGAGGGAGGAGATGAATCATTTTTTTCTTCCTCTCTTAACAAAAAAACCCTATCTATCCTCTTTGCCTGTTAAGTCAAAGGGGCGGAAAACAGACACGTAGGAAACCAGCAACCCCTCAAAATACACAGTAAAACCCTGTCGAAGCAAGGCGACGCATTTTACAGATTCACTTGTCAAACGGTGGCAGGGAGGACTGAAAAGGCTCTCCATGGCGCAAGGGCAGGACGCACAAAACCCGCCTTAATCTCGCTGAAAGTAACAGCTAGAAACACACAGGGACTTTGTCCATAAATAGACCGAGGCTGGAGAGGCTAGTTTAGTCGCACGGCTCGAAAATGCTCTTCTAGAGGCGTATTTGTGCATCTGTGACAGCCGGGGAGCGCAAGCAGGACGGGCGGCACGAAGAAACGCGTATTCGGCTTCGGACGGCTCGGCTAATACTGGCACGGATGTCGTAGGTTTTGTGAAGGGGGTAAAAGCGGATCATCAGGCGAGTCCTAAGCATTCTTCGTGCTCCGAGTTGTTGATGGCCTTCTTGAGGTTGTGGACGCTGCCCTACCTATTAAGAAACGGCTGAATTCGTCGAGCAAAAACCGAGCGGAGAACAGAGCGTTGGCGAAGCATAAATATTTATTTGAATTTGCATCACACAAAGACGACTTGAATAAGAGGCAAACCCTTACTCCTGTCTCACTCCTCTTGAAACCCAATATCTCCATTTGGCAACTTTTAATTTGCTCCCCCTCCTCCTCCTCCTCCTCCTTCTTCTTCTTTCTCCCTCTCCCACTCATATATATTTTCCCTCACTGTCCTTGCTGCTCAGTCTCAGATAGATTTTTCTCTCTCCACGCTTGCTCTTCCCTCCCCGAAGGAAGGGGAGGAAGTGTGTGTTTTTTCCTTGAAATTTTTATCACAAAATTATAATACACTCAAAGGGGAAACTCACCGTCATGAAAAAGCAGTGCCGTGTCCACGGGGTTTCCTCGCCATCTCTGCACGGGCCGGCGGAGCAGTGCGGCTCCAGCAGAAGGCAGCATCACTACATAGTGCACTACACTCCATAGGGCTCTTTACTTGAAAGAAAAGGGGTTTCCTAAACTCGCTGTTTACTATCGAGAAGGCTTCTTCTGCAAAATACAAGTTAAAGCTGCTGTTTTGATTAATCACTCTAAATGTCTGACATGAATAAGTGAATAAAAATTGTGTTTGTAACAATCGACAGGGGGCGGAGAATCCTTAACGACCACACCTTTGTGTCCTGAGATCACACATCACCCACAAGTGTGAACCAGACGCAAATATTATAAACGAAACATCACCAGTGTTGGGGAAAGTTACTTTTAAAAGTAATGCATTACAATATCGCGTTACTCCATAAAAAAGTAACGGATTACGGTCCTTAGTTACTTTTTATGGAAAGTAATGCGTTACGTTACTTTTGCGTTACTTTTAAAATCTGGACAGGGCTTGCTTGTTTGTTTTTAAAAATAAAAAAGTTCTATTTTTGGCAAATATAAAAACCTTCGAAATGAATAAGCCTCAGGCTGAAGGGAAAGTACATTTACGTCCGCACAGTAGAATGCAGAAGAAGACATTTCAACACACTTCAGCAATAAAAAAAGACACAAATGTTTGTCTAGAGTAATTTGTGCTTATTAGTATGAACTGGATCATCGAAGGTCAGAAGCAAAGACATTGGTTAACAGAATGGGATTAAATACATAAAGCATATTTGTGTTGTTTAACATTTAATTATTGTAGGTTTGCGTCATATTTTTATTCATTTTGAGGAATATTGAATCTGTGTTTTCTATGAGTGAGATGAATTAATGCATATTCATATTTATTTTAGAACTACAGTAACATCTGATTTCTCTCAACATGGGGACAGGAGAGCTGTCAATCAATAAATTGGAAAAAAAAAGTAACTTGCGTTACTTATTTGAAAAAGTAACTCAGATATTCGCTTGTAAATTAAAAAGTAATGCGTTTCTTTACTAGTTACTTGAAAAAAGTAATCTGATTACGTAACTCGCGTTACTTGTAATGCGTTACCCCCAAAACTGAACATCACTGGATCCTTCTGATCGCGTTATGTGTATACTGTGTATGATTATGCCAAATATAGGTGATTGTTGCCCCAGCGAGCCTTTCAATGTTAACAGTAACGAAAACTAAATGAAAACATTAAAAACAAAAATTTAAATCACTTCAAAACGAATTAAAATTAAGATAAGTTAATTTTTAGTGACTGAATACAAATGTTTAAGTACTAAAACTAATATGACAAATAAGTAAATTGGAATACATAAAAAAATGTAAAAGTAAATTAAATAGAAATTGAAATTCAAAACTAATAATAGCCATGCTGGTTTGATTTTTATTTACAATGCACACATATGACCATGTACACAATTCAAAAGCAAGTCAATAAACTGCAAGGGATATGATAATATTATTAATAATAGTACAGTTGGCAAATAAAAACAACTAACAATTGAGTTTTCTCTACAGTCATGAGGCCGTGATGCAAAATTCTAAATTCGAAAATAAATAAATCAACAGTTGTTTTTTTAAACATGCTGTAAATAATAAATCTCACATCAATGATCATTAATCATTTATTAATTAAATATAAATATGACAGAAGAAAGTTTAGCATCAATGTCTGAACAAAGTCTAAACAATGTAATAAATCATTTTCCTCTATCTAAATTATGTATGGGAAAACAATCATCAGTTTATTATGAACCTGAACATTTAATGCGCCAATAGAACGCCGCGTTACTAACGGTACTGATTCTTAGTCCAATCGTCGATAAGCACACTTAGACGTGTCGTCACATGATCAATGCTCGTTCGCCACGCCTGTTTTGAGAAGCAACATGGCGGCACTGGGAGTGGACGTTAATGTGGGGAATGATGACGGAGAATCAAATTCAGCGATCAGAGTTCCCGAACGCGTATTACGAAGAGATCAAGCGAGGCTGGAGGAGGCAGAGCGCCGGAGAAACGTCAAGGAGAGCCAGACCGTAACGGAAGAAAAGAGCGATTTCTTCACGTCCACCTTTAACGATGAGAAGACCGCAGTCGAGGAGATGCTCTCCATATGTAACCATAATAACCGCGACAAATCACTGGAAGAGATCACTTTGAAAACTCAACAGCTCCAGAAGTTCCTCAATGACAGCATGAGGTTTCTGACGCAGTATGAGATAAGACAGGCGCAGGCATCCCTGCAGAAGCTCCAGAGCTCTCTTGCTGAGAAAAGAGATGAGCTGTTGCCTAAAAAGAAATTCGCCTTTAGGTCCAGGAACACCGGAGCAAGTAAGCAGCCTGCACCGGTTCAACAAACAAGCGATACATCTGAATCTGATGTGGGTGGTACTGTAGTGGTGGATGCTGCTGTCTCTGTAAATCAGTGTGGATTCTCTAATGCTGACAGTCAAGTCTTAATCAAGCAAGCTGAGGAGATCCAGCAACGAGATGTTCTGTTATCTCATCTGACAAACTGTAAAGTCAGACTTTATGGCTGTCCGAGCACTGTGCACATCAAGAACGTCCACGGCTGTGAGATCCTCTGCGGGCCAGTGTCCAGCTCTGTTTTCGTAGACCAGTGCACTGACAGCACTTTAGTATTCCCCTGCCAGCAGCTGCGCACCCATAACACCACTGCCACTCTGATATATATCCATGTGACCAGCCGGGCAATTATAGAGGACTGTCATGGGGTCCAGTTTGCCCCATTCACGTGGACTTATCCAGGAATTCATGATCATTTCAAAGTAGCTGGACTTGATCCGAACAGAAATAATTGGAGAGAAGTGGATGATTTCAATTGGCTTGCTGCTGGCACACCTTCACCCAACTGGAGTGTCATTCCTGAGACTGAGAGAATATGTAGTTGGGATGTTGTGGGACATCCTTAAAATTATGATCTGATTACATTATTGTGTGCTGAGTCAATGTGATGCTAAAATTGAGATGCCGTAAACATGTTGTTCTAGAATTCCTCACTTACAAATTAATTGATAATTAATTAAATTGAAATTAATAATAAAATTAATAATGGTGAATGCAATTAATTTAATGTTGTATAAGAAAATAATAAAGTCTAATTTGATCACATTTGTGTTTATTTGTGATTCACTTGCCAAGTCTATGCATTTAATAACTATAATCACAATAAAATCATTGATAAAGGGATAATTCACCCCCCCCCCAAATGTAATCGTTTACTCGCCCTCATGTCATTCCAAACCTGCAGACTTACTTTCTTCTGTGGAACATTAAAGAAGATATTTATAGAATTGTCTCATTGTTTTTTGTCTGTGCAATGGAATTCAATATAATATAATACAACTATTTGGTTACCAACATTTTTCAAAATATCTTTGTGTATATTTTGTGTTTTGAAGAAGAAAAATTCATTCAGGTTTGGAATGACAGGTTAAAGTGAACGATAACAGAATTTTCTTTTTTGGGTAAAAAAAAATCCTTTTAATTCTGTTACTATTGTTCAGACATTCATTCAAAGATTCATAGATTAACCTGAAGTTGGTTCAGAAACAAATGTTTTTGTAGGTTTTCGAACATAAACGCTTTGTGGAAAAATGCTATACAGATACACTATCTTAATGCTGGTGCTTCTTTTGTGTATTATGTGCAAAATAATATACTGTAGATAGGGGGTTTTCATTTAATATTTTAAAATGATAACAGTTAATACTAACTGCAAGAAGTGGCCTGTTATATTCAGGTACTTTATTATAGTGCATAATTCAACCTTTGTAGTCTTTGATACAAGTACAATCATTATCTGAATATGAAGTTCTGTAAGCTAGTAATTGTTTTGACTATTATTGTTTTGTGTGTAAAATTAAACAATAAAGTCTCGTTTGACTAAATTAGTTAACATGCTTACATTGCTAACAATACTTCTAGATGTTAATTTCAACCTCTAAAAAAATTCTTAAAATCAAGTCAAATCTTTTAATGTTAGTTCATGCACTACGAACTAGCATGAATAATTGTATTTTATTAACTAACATTAACAAAGATTAATAAACGTTGTAGAATTACATTCCTCATACATAGTTCATGTTAGCTAATGCATTAACTAATGGTAACAAATTGTAAAGTGTTAGGGTTCTTGACTATCATCAGTTCCATTCATATTTTAACTTTGAAAAATGTAGAGATCCTCTGGATCAACAGTGGTATGTCTGTCACGAACTCAAAGACCCTGGAAGTGGAAGTGTACTGGTCTTACGTCTTTGCCTCCTGGTTTTTGGTGTCTCTGTTGTTATGCCAGTCATACCATGTGACCAATCAAGCCAATCACACACCACGGCAGCAGCTTACAGATAGGCTCATCGACTGGCCAAGGATTTCTGTAAATGAGATGAGGGTGATTAGCTGGGTTTAGGATGACGTACAGTAACTTTGTGTTTAATCATGTGGATCCTTGGCTTTTGTCCTCCCTTTGCAGATAGAGGGACACCACTATTTGCGTCAGTACCTGAGGACACTGCTGTTTTAATTATTGAGATGAAAATCCATTTTTAGGATTGTGAAGATAATGCATTACATTGGCGTTTACCTTTAGAAGAACCTGAGTTGAACTATTATGGGTGCGAAGATCATCATGAAAGTAGCTAACAATTTCTCGCTTTACTGGAATGGATTTCACATTGCGCCTTGAATGTACTTTCAACATTCCACTTCTGTAAACTACATTGCACAGCTCTCTTTGGAGATCACCAAACTCTGAAAATACCTTTTTGGACTTTAATTTCGGACTTTAACTAGTTGTTCAACATGGCTCTTATGAAGGTAAAGTTTGACCTGAAGAAACGGGTGAAGCTGGCCCAGATGCTATGGCTCATGTACTGGTTTTCCATTATGGCTGGCGTGCTGGTCTTCAGCATGGGCCTTTTCTTTAAAATTGAACTTCGAAAGAGAAGTGAACTTATGGACAACAATGAGAGTCATTTTGTACCCAACATTCTAATTGGTGTGGGTCTTTTGGCATGTTGTCTCAATGCCTGTGGGGGCAAAATCTGCTACGACTCGCTCGACTCCACCAAGTTTGTGAAATGGAAGTCCATTTTGAAGCCCTTTCTCATTTGTTGTTTGTTCTTCAACTTCCTCCTCATTGTCACAGCGGTGATGTGTTTTGCCACGCGCATTCCTCTAGAGTTCACACTTGCTGAGGGCCTGAAAAATGGAATGAAGT